CTCAAGGCTGAACTATGGGACTCTCTCCTCGCCGGCCTTCCCGGCACCTCCCTCCACAAGCTGCAGGTCATTCAGAACTCTGCAGCTCGTGTACTGTCCCGCACCAGGCTTCGGGACCACATCACTCCCACCCTCGCTCACCTCCACTGGCTCCCCATCCCCCAGAGGATCGAATTCAAGATCCTCATCCTCACCTACAAGGCCATTCACGGCCTCGCTCCTCCTACCTCTCCGATCTACTATCCCCTACTACCTGCCCGTACCCTCCGTTCCTCTGGCTCCGGTCTGCTCCACATCCCCCGCCCCAACCGCCCTACCATCGGTGGCCGGGCCTTCAGCCTCTCAGCCCCGCGGCTCTGGAACTCCATCCCCCAGTGCCTTCGCCGCTTCCTCCCTTTCCTCCTTCAAGGCCGGTCTCAAGACCTTTCTCTTTGACCGTGCCTTCAGCTCCCCTCTTGACTCTCTACCCCCTCCTCGCTCCTTCCCTTCCCTCCCCTCACCCTGACCATTTACCCCCTGCTCGGGTCATGACCCAACTGTCCAGCGCCTTGGGACGTCCTCCCGACGTGAAAGGCGCTCTGCAAATGAAATCTGTTGTTGTCAAAGCTTTATTCATCTTGTGTGTTGTTTTCTGTATTATTCAGTGTTAACAAAATCTGCAGTCTATTGCAATTCTTTTCCCCTGCAATTCACTCCCTGTTCTTTTCTCAAGTCGCTGACTCATACTGGGATATAGTCCCACAGGCACCAACCACCCTTCCATACCTTGCCCAAAGTGGTTATTTTTTATGTGTGTGTCAGCAGCTGAGGCTTTACTTACAGTCAAAGTTAAAAAAAAGTTGATTAAATTAACGTTCGTTTTTCATGCCAAAGGTTTGTCAGAATAAAAAGAAAAGGGCACAAAATAATAACCCAAATCAATAGCTTCACTAATGTAAATTCACAAGCCTATCTGTGAGTTAAATAAATAGCTTAATATTTTACAGCAATGTTCCAATCTCTGGCTCACTTTCAGTTAGAAGGTTCTGAAACTTTCTGTGGGTGTTTTCAGTTGTATAAAATAAATTGGTTTCCAGGAGCAGAGGCTTGCGATTGACAGAACATGATTGCAATCACCTTTAATAATCAAACTAGTCAGGCTTGGCATCATTAACATTTTTAAAAGATGTGGTCTAGCTCCTATATTTCTTCCAAGAAATTCTGAACTACCAGGACGCCTTTGGTTGGGTTGTGGGCATATTGGCCCATGTTTACACCATTCATACCACAAATTGTATCTCATATTTTCAACCTTACTTTTGCTCAACATTCATAACTCCTCCTTGTCCCTGTCTTTGAGATGATCATTTGAGGTATAAGTGTAACTAGTTGAGAAATTAGCTGAAGTTTTATTTTTTAAAAATTCTTCCAGAACAAATAAAAAAGACAATTTAATCACATTTTTTTGGCATTAGTCTTATTAACATCAAAACAAAATCTAGCCAAAAAAAGCTGCTGGTCTAATTTATTATTGATACCATTTATTAGGAACAGCTATTAAACTGTCAGTTTGTTGATTGAGAATATATTAACTTTCATGGGCATATTAAAATGTAAAACAGATTAACTAATGTCAAATACATGATGGCTTTCCCTTCTTGCTGATTTCAAATATATTTAAAGATGCTTCCAGGCTATTTTCTCCATCTATTATCATTGCGTCACTTTAGATCAATGGATCATAATCGGAGTCCTGTAACTGAGTAGATAGAGCACTACCCTCGCAAGCATGAGACCTTGGTTTGATTCCCGGCAGAGCGAAATGTTGGGCAGGTTTCATTAATAATAATCCTTGCATTTGATATAGCACTTTTCATCTCTTCTAGACGTTTCAAGCGCTTCACAGAATATACTGTAAAGTAAATTTCTGGGCAAAATGCAGCAGCCAATTGTGCACAGCCATGTCCCACAAACAGCCGTGGATTGAAGTGACCAATTTTATTATTGTTCTTTTTTTCTTGAGGGATTATTATCAGGCATGTGGAGTGAGGAAACTTCCCCAGGATTTCACCCTGCTGGGTATCGAACCCAGGTCTCTCACTTGCGAGGCGAGCTGCAGGACTCCACAAAGTGGAGCTTGAACCCACAGGGCTTGAACCCACAATCTCTGGAACCAGAGGTGGAAGTGCTACCATCTCAGCCAAACTGACATTAAAGCAGGTTTCAGTCCTTCAGTTGTCGCATACATTAACTTGATAACATTATCAAATAATGATAATGAATGTCAGCTAACACTCTGTCTGAGTCGCTGTTTGATGTCCATGACACAAACAATGTTGCAGCTTCATAAACCCTGTGTAAATGTTACAGGATTACATTTGCTAATATTTCCCTTCCTGTGAAATCTCAAGTAAGAGTGACGGCAGTATCTCCAATTCAGATTTAACTCTCTGAAGCTAAATTTTCTTGATACTTGTAAAAATGTGACTGGTTTCTATCACTTCTGAAAATTTGAATTTATTAAAATAATTGCTTCTATAATATTGAAATGGCTCAAAGCATTTTAGTAATTACTGTTATGGATAGTACCTGTGCTTTTTGTAAACAAATGTGGCAGCCAATTTGTGTGTAGCAATGTCCCACAAGTAGCCAGGAGCTGATGATCAATTTAATTAGAAGATTATTGGCCAGATTCTTTAATATAAACCTAAACAGATGGGTGCCAGTAAAAGGATGTGGTTCTATAACAAGCTTGGGCAAAATATAAGTTGTAATTTAGCCATTTGGATGGCACTTTTGCCTATTGGTTAAATAGCTGTGGTTCAAACTCGACATCTGAGAGTTCCTAATCCGAGTTGAAACTCAATACTGAGGGAGCACTGCATTGTTAGATATGCCATTCTTCAATGAGACGATTAAAGATTGCATCGCACAACTTTGAAGAAGAGCAGGGAGCTCTCCCACTATCATAGCCAAAATTCCTTCCTCACCCAATTCACAAAATAAAGTTAAATGTAGTTGTTCATCTCATTGCGGTTTGAGGGGTGTTGGTGGCGCACACTGGCTACTGTATGTACTTACACTTCTAAAGTATCTCATTAAAGTGAATTGCTTTAGAATGTATCAATGTCATGAAATCCAAGTTTATATTATCTATAATCAGTTATTTAATATAAACTTTAATGATTTGAATTACTCTATTCGACAAATCTGCACAGAGGGAGATTTTTCCCAATAACTTTTAATGTAACTTCAGTTAATCTCTAATTGATACTGCCGTGAGTTTATTAGAAAAATCCAAGGCTTTCACCGGTTGGGTGCATTTCTGTCCAAAGATCAGCAATAGTTTATAAATGTGTAAAGCAGTGGGTTATTTACCGATTATTTGGACATCACATTTGAGGTTGACACCCAAGAAAATATTTGGGAAAATTCTTTTAAAACAAGTTTGTCTTTAAAACTATAGTTCATTTGGTTGATTAATGATTGTGCTCCAACTGTACGTGAAAGATCAGTTGTCAGTTCCTACTTGTAATCTGACAAATTATTTTCCTTACGTAACCTGAGACCCAACATTTCTCATGATCTTCCCTTAACAATGTAAAAATTCTTATATTCTGCCTTAATTTGGAAGCTGTTTTCCCAGTCCTTAAAGAGAATTGAAGAATATTCAAGTATTCTGCATAATCTTTCATTTTAAGAAAATGTTCTTTAGGGTAAGACAATGAGAATTTCAGATTTCTGATGTTCAATGCTCCTGCTTGCGAGTGCTCTAATCGTTGTTTAAATCAGGTCTAGAAAAAAGAAATACTGCTCTTTCAAAGAGAACACTGTTGCAAAAAGTCATTTTATTCACTGTAATGTGCGCTATTGCTAAAGTCCATATGAATACATAATTATGTGGCGAATAATTTATTGAGTAGTTCTTAATTAATTACTCAACTATCAGTCAAACTTGTTGAAGCTAAACAAAACTAGGCTAAATCAATCCAGGAGTATGTCAGACCTATCTACATTACAGCACCTCTGAGGGTGTGAATGCTTCCAATAGAGGGGAATAATAAGCCATGGCAGAACAATAGTTAAGGACAATTTTAGGACAGATGCCAGAAAGAATTTATTTTCACAGAGGATAATCAATAGCTAGAATGGCTTCCTGGGAAAGGTGGTTGAGGGTTGGACCTAGAACTAATTTAGTTGCTTGAAGCTGAGAAATAGAACAATGTAAATATGAGATCAAATGGATTAAAATGCCTTCATCTTCCAAACTTCTTTTATGATCTAGTGAGAACTCTATGTACTTGGATAACAATGATGTAATAATAATAATAATACTTGCATTTATTATAGTGCCTTATCACATCTTCAAGGTGTCTCAAAGCGCTTCACAGAATATACTGTAAAGTGAATTGACTGTATGTTTTGTGGGCAAAACGACAGTGTGCTACAAACAGTCATGGATTGAGTGACCAATTTTTTTATTTTTTTTGAAGGAATTTTTACCCCGGAAAAGTGATTCGCCAATCAACTAACAACCGGGTTCCTAGGTACTTCTAGGAAGTAAATAGAGGTGTGTGGCGTAAGGAAACTTGCCCAACATTTCACCCTACCGGGAATCGAACCCAGGTCTCCTGCTTGCGAGTGCTCTAACGACTGAGCTACAAGATTCTGTAATGCTGAATATGCATTTCTCATATTAACAACAGTCATGATTTGCCCCTGAAGCTCATTACCCTCCCATGACTCTCTTCAAGGCACCATACGTAATTAATGGCTAATTGTAACCTCAGAAAGAATACATCTTACAAGTGGATGCCAATTCAATGCGAAATGCAATAAGGTAGCTAATATTTAAGTCTAAAGCTCACAAGCTACTGCAAACATAAACTTCTGAGTGTTTTGAAAGATATTTTAGGTATAATATTCAAACAAAAAAAATGATGTCTTATGTTAATTTCCCTAATGCAGATCCTGACCGACATGGGTAACATCCAATCTAAATAATGCAAGGCAGGCACAGGTAGTACTTTATTAGGCATGAAATAGTTACATTTGTTCCAATGGTAGAATAAAATATGTTTCTCTCCATAAAAGTGGCATAAGTCACATCAGCACAATATTATTTGCACAAGAATGGATGGCACGTTGTCAGTTTCAATGTACATTAGTTTCATATTAAATATGTGGACGAGTTGCATTGTCCATCTTGAAGATCTTCTCTTGCATTCAAAAGTCATCTGTTTCATCAGATACATTTGAGGAGGAAGGAGTTACAGGTAGTGCCTCGAGCACAATCGCACAGCTTGCCAATTCTTGGACCTTGTTTAATCGCACATCTGTCCCCAATATCACACTAAAAATCAATATAATCAAATATTATTAATTTGTAATAAGTAGAAAAGTAGAATTCAGTCAGATTACCTTGCATTTCAGCCCTCTTTTGCGCCCGCTTTACATAGCATTATTTGAGGGACAATATTAAATATAATTTTCAACGATTTATATTTTCTCATTTTACTAACTGACTTGAATGAAGGACCAAGGCTCAGTGTCAGACACCATCAATGTTAGAAAGTAGAGGAGAGAAGGTGAGATAAAACAAAAATAATTGTTGCCAAGCTGGAAAGTGCAGTGTGTAGACATTGTTTGAGAATAGGAGAATATGATGTTCTTCATAGTCGAGTAGCATTCTGTCTACGCTCACAGGTGACCACTTTGGTGAGATACCAAAGAGCTGCTGGCACCCATGGAAATATACTGCAACACATTTAGGAGAGGAAAAGGAGAGATGGGAAAACAGCCAAGCCTCCCAACCACACACCCTTTCCTGGATAAACTTCTTCAAATATGTGCTCAAAGTTTGCACTAAATTCAATATCTGTATGTTGTTCCTGAGTACATTCAGATGACTGAAAGGGCAATTGAGTATAAAATACATGAAAAAGAAAGGCAGAGAAGGACTGTAACCCATAACTATTGAAAGAGATAAAACGGAAAATAGTATCTAGACTATTGTTAAGGTAACATTTCCAACAGTCTTCATATAAGTACCTCCTTGTCGCTTAATATCTTTAAAAAGAGTCAATGCTTCTCAAAAAATCTCTTAAATCTATGTCCTCAGTCTCAAGTAAGACATTTTGACTATCTACATTGCTGTATGGATACTTGAGAATGAAGTGTTAAGGTATACTTTCTTTACTAGAGGTGGGTTAAAGGCTAACTTCTGTGTATGGTTTATTGTGCAAGAGGCAAACATCCCACAAGGAATGCAGAATGTTTGAATCTATGAACCTAATTATCATGGGTATCCATACTCAAAAGCACATATGGCTGGTAAGAATAGATAGGAAATCAATTTCTAGTGTATGAAATACATTGGGGCAGCTTATAAATAGATAATAGATTGTGGGTAACAAACAGCTGTAAGCATCTATTGGTAAATATTTCTTGGTGTAGAATATATTGTAGCTTAATACCTTGTCCTCAAAGTGCCAGTTTTATTCTTTTGGAAAATAACAAGAGGCTAATTTTGCCTGGAACTCACCTTAGGGATCTGCCCAGCTTTCTTCTCATAAGACGGGGATATAGCGTTGTGGAGTTTGCCCAATATTTCTTCCACTGCTTCAAACTATCGAGAAATCAGATTTTAAAAAATTATTTTAAGAAAAACCTTGCATTTTCTAAACCGTTTATTCTCCATTATCAATGGTAAAATAAAATGCGTTTCTCTCCATAACAGTAAAGAAATGTTCCTGCACTAACCACGTATTTCAAACTTTAAAAACATTTACACCATCTGAATATATTCCACTCTTTAAATTTCACATCAGGGAAAATATTCTTAATATCCATTTTGAAACCATGTACAATAGTTTACATTGCATCTCTTATATGAACGAGGTGTCTCAATGTTTTAGTTTCCTGATTTCAAGACACTTATTTGTATCAGAAGTCACAGTCTATCCAAGTAAAATCATTTGTTTCTCAAACACTTAACTAACTCACATTATTATTTTAAATGTGTGCAAAAAAAAATTTAAATCAACATCGGGCTCAAATGTCTATTATTTCCCAATCAATATGGTTCAAAAGCATGTCATCATAAATAAAGTTTCTACAACACAATCCAATTGATGGATTAATTTACTAAACTGTTGTGAAATAAATACGATTTTTTTAAAAAAAAGGTTTGAGAAAAGAACTTGTCACAAATATACTCTCTGAAACTCTTTAGATTGTTAGCCTCATTCAGACGAAACTTTCAAACAGAAGGAAAAAAACAGCTGAAATTAAGTTACTTGGAATAATTATGTTGGGGTAAGACATTGGAAGAGAGGCCACCTAGAGAAAACATGATACAAATAAATGTTAAGATCAGACAGACGATCGCTCCGTATTATATTTGTTTTTTAAAGTGGAAGAAGGTAAGATGAAGTTGACTGACCAGTTCCTTCTCAGTAGAGGCGTTGGGAGTTTTGGCCGGATAGTCTTCTGCTGAGCTAAGCTCTCTAGACGATTGCCCCTGGCAGAGGAGCAGGAGCACACTCACACAGAGGAGGAGCCCCAACATGTTGCAGCTTTCCATGGTGCTGAACCTCCACCTTCTGTAAGGAGTAGCGTGTGATCTGCACAAGGGAAGATGTCCTTATATAGGAGACGATCTGCCTGGCTCAACAGCTGGGGGTAGCCAATGAACGTGGATTGCGGTGTGATTGGTTCTGCAGTCGAAAGAAGTCAAGAGATTTCTGGACTTTTCTCTGATTGCCCAAGTTTTAGACATTAACAAGAATCTCCAAGGGACCTGATTACTGGCCGTGGTCAATGAACCTTCAGTTGGTAGTTCTGTCAGGATGTCTCGCTTAGAAACTTGATTTCTCCTTCAAACCAATTAAGCATATGCCTATGAAATTACCTTCGGAAAATGTACTCATTGCTTAACCTCCGAGACAAAAAACAGCATCACCTCTGTACTTTTTACATTTATTTTACGATCAATCATATTTTCTAATGTGTTTTTAGATGATTTGTGCAACTGCAAGTTGTTATTATTATTAAACCGTATCTTAGAGGTGAAAATTTAACTGGATTAATCCCAAAGAGTGCTGTTCTCTGTGAATCAAACTGCCAAATGTTGCAACAATATTGAAATGGTAAACACAGCTCCCTAATTTCTACAGTGTTGTTGGTCATTCTATTTAATCTGAGTGATTGTAATTCGTGGTATTTAATATATTAATAACTAACTTATCTAATGTTGGGTGGTATCTTGGATCAATTTTTTTTTAAATTATCTCGCATTCTAATTCTAATCTCCTAATATTTTAATTTGTTTTGAAGTCTCATTAATCCTCATTGACAAGATGAATTATTTGGGTTTTTTTTGTTAAAAATTATAGGGTGACTAATTGGTGCTATTGCTTCTCGGAATTTCTTAGTAACGACTGCCGTGGGAATTCCACTCTGGAAGTAGGTTGTAACAAAGCTCAGATTTTCACATAATGTACTGTACTTCCAGTTACTTTATGGAGCCTCGACGTGTGTGATGTGAATTCCTTATTAAGAGCTCCCTTTAAGAAATAGCACAAATTAGAACCCAATCATTCTATTTCAGATTTTGTTCTTACTATTAAAAGGAATAATTCTTCTGAATACAGTCTCCTGTGAAGAACACAGTGACAAAAAACATTTTGAATACAGAATATTATATGGAAGGAGATGTACATGACAAACCATTTTGTCAAAGAAGTCACAGGTAAATGTAACATTGCCTTAAATAATAATAACAATATTTCTAGCAAGTACCTTCATATTGGGAGAATGTCTCAAAGCACTTCACAGATTTATTATAAAATGTAGTGATGAAGCATTTTGTAGCTGAATGACTTGTGAAAAAGCATGAATCTATGGTACCCATGTCTGAGTTTCTGGAGTGCTGTGTGCAGTTTTGGTCTCCCTATTTATAAAACACAAGATATTCAGTTGTAAGAAGATGCACAGCAGAAGGGGACCAGATTCATTTCAGAATTTGGGACTGAGCTATGAGGAAAGGTTAGCACCTGAGGACTTTTCTCTTGCAGGGATTCTTAACAACCTTATTTAAAATCATGAAGGGTCTGAACATTTTAATAATCTTTTTCCCTGTGTACAAAATTCAAAAACATAAGGTCATACCTTCAAAATGATAGCCATTCAGCCTCTTCTTTCCAGAATACTCACACTGCCATCTTCGCATTACAGCATTAATTAATTTCTTAAATTAAACAAGCTGTTTCTTAAATGAATGACTGACTTACATTCCCCTCTGTACTTCTCCTGGGTAATGATATACATTATAGGAAAAGTATTTTCTTAACCATTGTCAGTGTTGTTTTGTTTGTGATTAAAACATCTGTTACGGTCCAATAAAATGGTCAAACATGGTTGACTTATCAAATAACCCCCTACCATTCATAGGGTCCTACAGCCTGAAGCAGTACCTTAAACAGTACAAAATTATCTTTATATTTCCTGACACAAATCAACCTTGATATGTATTTGTTGAGGAATACAATAGCTGGACCTTCAGAGAGACTGTAGTAGTCTTTCCATTCCATTGCTAATCTGGTCCTGTCCATTGCTATGATTCTATGGATAAATATGTTGAAAATTTGAGACTGAGTGAGTCAGTCTTTTATATTGATCCAGATTCCCCTTACTGCCCTCAAGTAAACAGGACTTCACTTAATAACAAACGGCCATGAAACATAAAAATTCATCATTATCATGAGACATTTATTGATTCAGTTGCACATTAAAACTTGAACAAGCTTTCCAACATCATTTACTGCAGCAGTTAAACTGCTGACTGTGGGAAGATGGTAAACTTCATTTTGTAAAGCACAAAGCAGGTAACCCTTTAATCTTATCTGACATGATGATTAGATCTTTTTTTTTTGTGCAAAGAGAAGTGTTAAATGCCATTTATAATTTTGAGGAATAAATCCATCATCTTGAAAATAACCTTCTTAATAAAAATGCAAGAACCTCCATAAAACAAATGTCAACAAATCAATAGGTTTCAGTCAATTTTCCAGTGAACGCAAGTTTCTTATAATAATAATAATAATAATCCTTGCATTTGATATAGCGCCTTATCCAAATGTAATTTTATTGCTGTTGTTGTTGTTAAAGAGATTAAGGGATATGGGGACAAGGCGGGTAGGTGGAGTTAGAATAGATCAGCCGTGATCTTATTGAATGGAGGGGTAGGCTCGAGGGGCCGAATAGCCCATTCCTGCTCCTAATTCTTAAGTTCTTATGTTGTCACATTTCAAGACCTCTCAAAGCGCTTCACAGAATATACTGTAAAACGAAATGACTGTGTATTTTGTGGCCAGCTGCAACGCGACAGCTAATTGCGCACAGCAGTAATGTTCCATTTCTTTTGCTGGGAGCTGAGCAATATCATTGCCAGCCACAGAGTGCGATGGAGCAGGATGCTTAATTTATGTTACCTGCTCCATATTTTATCATTAATCATTTTCTCATAAATTCTAAAGATTATTCCCTCGGGTTGCCAAATCGATAACAAGGTGACATAAGTTCAGGTTAAAGGGGAGGTTAGAACATGGAATAATTAGCCACAAGTAGAGATTGATTTTCAAACCATACGATCATTTAACGTAGGGTAAATTTGAAGAGAAAAAAGAGTAAGGAGAAAGAGCAATAAATTTGATTTTGAAAGAACTTGTACGTTATAGCTATTTGTCAAGTCAAATACGTTAGTCATTTTTCATACAGAAAACTCCCACAAATAGCCATAAAATAAATAACCAAATCAGTTGGAGGATTGGTGGCTAGGTTTTTTAAGTATCCTGAAGTAGTTCTCACCTGATCTCATCTTCCAGAACGCCCACCCTACTCTCTTCCCATCACAGGATCAACCTGCTTTTTAAATGAATCCAGTGTCCTTGCCTCAGCCACTCTTCCTTGAAACCTGTTCCAACCATTAATTCCCAATGGGTGAAGAAAACCTTCCTGAATTCTGTCCTGAAATCACCCTATGCAACTCTAAACCTATGTCCTCTTGTTCTACTATCTTCGTACAACCTAAAGTATTTTTATGGGCTTACTTTTTCAATCTCATTTAAATTATTTCTATCACAAGCCTGTCTTCAAAGCTCCATTGAACTAATATAAAGGGATCTCATTATGTATCAAAAAGAATGAAATCCAGCATCTTGATCACTGTGACATGGTTCTTTACCAGCAATAATATTGCTTAAAATTGATGCTTCTAATTATCAGATCAGAATGGAAAGGAAATGAGTTTGCAACATAATTCAAGCAGCAGATTCAAATTCTTTCTCTCTTGTTTCCGTCTTGTTGTTAGTTAAAATGCTTCAGGACACTTAAAAAATGAATTACCGCATTCGTATCTATTGGCTTCGTATTTTCAAGCACAGGAAAAGAAGCTGCAGCATCAATTTTCTGTGCTTCAAGTAGCAGAAAAGCATCTGATAATAGCTTATTTTAGCATTAATAAGGTCCTTTGGGATGCCCATTATTCTGAATTTTTTTTGAACGATTCACCGCAATAATAATATCAAGGATTTAGCTTGACTGTACTTAGCAGCAAATGAAGTGAAGCTTTTGAAATGTCATTGTGATTAATAAGAATTATTTATGTATTTCCTACACTCCCCTTTCTCTCTTTTTGGGTAATAATAATAATAATCCTTGCATTTGATATAGCTCCTTATCACGTCTTCGAGATGTCTCAAAGTGCTTCACAGGATATACTGCAAAGTGAAATAACTGTATATTTTGTGGGCGAAAGGCAAAGGCATCACAAATGTATTTACACAGTCGAGCATTGATGGAGCTTGAAGATCATTTAAACCAAAGTTAATTAGCTTAACAAGAGTTGTTGCCGTACTTTTGTTTGAAATAATGTTTGTCAAATATAACTTGTATGTGTGTATGCACACTGCAAATTATAGGGAAATAGAGAACCTATGTTTAGATTGGGTGGTTCAAGGATCAGAATGAACTGTAAAGGAATATCATGTGAAGTGGCCTTTAACTGGCAATACACCAAGAAATAAGAGCCCATATATATGAAACGAGAAAATAATTTTCTCCACATCAACCCCAACCCTCTCTACAAGCCCAACAGTAAGTTACTTTACCTACTCTCAGTCCACTCATTCTATTTTGTGGGGAATAGTGTTCATAAATACTCTCTGGTCCTCGAAAGTAATCATGTAAGGTTTAAGGAGAATCAAGGGGAAATCATTCAACACTGGCCTACCATCCTTCTAGCTATTCATTGCCATCCCAGATAAATCAGGTTACTGAGTACTGGATTTGGATTTGTGAAGCAGAAGATTCTGGATTTGAATTCCGGGGTGGGGGGGGAAGGGGGCAGTCAGCCCTTAAAAATATATACAAACATAGTTCTTCAGAAGTAAGCAGGATCTCCCTGATGCTGAAGTGGCTCTGAGGAAACTTAATGAACAAAAGACCTGCAGTAGTCTAAACCACTGGTGATCATCAACCTGGCTGTCTGGCTCATTGATGAGAGTTGGAGATGTAGGCATGTCCTCAATTCAACCCTGGCCTCCACTCCTCCAACAAAAATCCAACCCATGGATCCTGCAGCTTAGAAAATATTGTTCGTACATTTAAAAAAAGGTTTATACAATGCAAGGACAACTGTGTATACTTAGCAAGTGTGACATTTGGGTCTAGATGGGTTCCTATATCTGCTTTTCAGGAAAGTGAAGTGGTTTCATACACCTCTGCAGGGAAGAAACAGTTAACTACAATATCTGGTTCCATATTCTGTTGTAGATTAAATCTAGTCAGTTGTAGGTGACAAGCTCTGGCCATTAATTAGGCTGTAGTATTAGCTGTTCCAAAAACAGTTTCTAATTTAACAATGTGTTCTGATGAGAAGCTAGCAAAAGGTCTCCTCGACATGACACTTCAGTTGCACAGAATTACCCCTGAGCTGGTCATGTGGAATGGATAGGTGGCGTATCTAGTCATGTCCCCCCCCCCCCCCCCCCCCACCCCCAGAAGAACGCTGTTTACAAGTTGGAGAATTCAGCCCAAAATCCACTTCTGCTCTGGATATCAAAGATCACCAATGGACACAGTTTTCAAAGAAATGGAGGAATTGTATGTATAAATGCTTGGAAAATAGGCAGTAAAATATCAACAATTTTTATTCTTAAACCTCAGGCCGAATTGGTCAAGACATCTTCTTTCTTCTCACTATCTACTTATCTTTTATTATAAGCATTCACATTGCCTGACTTCATGCCATGGAAATTTAACTGGAGGGCTCCCTTTGATATTGGGCTGGTGATGAATGGATTTAATTTTCCACAAAAATGCAACCTTTATTTTTCCAGAAATATTTGCTTAGGTTTATTATGCCCGTGAGGTAGATTTTGTGAGTTGCAACTCTTATAGACTGCGACCTGTTTTTCTGTGAATTCATTCAGTTCCAGAGTTTGTCACAGTGTAAAAAGGGATATGCTATCACTGTGTATAACATTCTACACCTAAATTAAACTTTCTTTTTATTTCTTACTTGATGAAGAGCATTACAAGGTGCAGAGAGATGTTGTATATTGTGGCTTGACCCAAGGTCAGTGTATTTTTTATTTGAGTCAGAAGGCTGGAGGTTCAAGGCCTTAGACTGGTGTCTGTTGGGAGCAGGACTGAATCTTTCCCAGTAAATCTTACCCAAAGCTAAAGAATTATTTAAAAACAAGTGATTGGTTGAATCAACAGGATATTTTGTGTCATTTTTGGTTAATCCAAAGCGGTTGGAGACTTCAGCATTCAAACCAATGTGGCTGGGATTCAGGTAGATTCTCAGAAAGAGAGTTTGAGTTTTGTGTAGAATTTTCTGCACTGTTGATGTCGTGCTGACATGCCTAACAAATCATAGCGAGTGCGGAAAATCAAGACACATGTTTTCTCACTGTCGGCAAGCTCTCTTCATTAAACTTCATCAATCAGGCCAAACCACCACTGAACCAATTATTTAGAAATCCAAAGTAGCTGAAGGATAAAATGGGAAGGAGCAATGTTACTCGCTGTGATTAATTAACGCCCCACATGCTTCAGTTTACATTAAATGTTCTCTCTTTCTGACAGCTCAGTGATAATAAGACCTCAAATACGTTTCCAGTCTCTGAACTATCGTCTACAGTCAAGCTATTATCCCCTCTGATGCTGTTTGCAATTATTTTCTCAAAGACCTTGCACCAAGTATGATTGTTTCTGTATACCAACAATATTCTGAACCTTTTAACTCTTGCAATTTGATACAAACATTGCGGTTAAATTTGATACATTTATTTCAAGTATCTTCTTATTTATCCTTTTAGTGCTAAAACACATTTCTTTCCTGGACAAATTATTTTTATTCAAGTAATAATTTTCAGTAAATTTATAGCTCTACAAGCATGTAGATACGATTTAAGGAAAATATAAGGAATTTAATGAGGTTTACTTTTGTATTGACAGTAATTATCTCAGAGGTGCTTGGAGATGTATCGATGTGAAAAGTGACATAACATTGCGAGTTCTTTCTATCTTCACACATTTCAATAATATCCATTAGATAATATGTTGCGATTTTGTTATAACTGTTGTTATAAAAACCTTCATTCTGGCATAGTAAAGAGTTTTTTTTATTCTGTCTGTATTGATGAATAATAATAATTCTTATATTTGATATAGCGCCTCTTCACATCATCGAGACATCTCAAAATACTTCACAGGATATACTGTAAAGTGTATATACTGTAGACTGTATTTTGTGGGTGAAACGCGGCAGCCAATTTGCGCACATCAATGCACAACAAAATATTTTCCTCCACCACAGCATCAAGCTGCTTTTTAATTGAGTCAAGTATCCTGATTTCAACCACCCTGTAATTGTTGCATTTTCTGACTTTGAGACATCTCTACGATGAGTCCTGTAGCTCAGTGGTTAGAGCCCTCGCTTTGCAAGTGAGACACCTGGGTTCAATTCCAGGCAGGGCGAAACCTTAGGCAAGTTTCCTTACTCCACACGTCTAATAATAAAACCTCCAAAACAAAACAATAATAAATTGGTCATTTCAATCCACGAGACGTCGAGAAGATGTGAAAAGCTCTATATCAAATGCAAGGATTATTATTATTATTATAAGGATTTTTATGTTTATTTCTCCCTTATGATTATTTTTAGAAACAGATTAATTGGGACATTAATTTCACTTGTGTGAGGAATTGCTGGCACAGATTAGTTGCCACACAACATTTCAAAGTAATTCACTGAGTGATTTACTTGAAGTGGTGTTTTCGTGTCACAAGATACTACATCAAATGCAAGAAGTTAACGCAGCTCAACAGCAGGTCTCCCATTTCTCATTGGCATAGTAAGAGTGTCACCAAGTGGTTATGGAAAAGCATTGCAGACAAATTGCAACCTGACATCAGGATTACTGACCTGTGCCTTTTATAATAATAATCATCCTTGCATTTGATATAGCGCATTTCACGTTCTCAAGACGTCTCAAAGCGCTTCACACAATATACTGTGAATGAATTGACTGCAGCCAATTGTGCGCAGCAGTGTCCCACGAACAGTCGTGGATTGAAGTGACCAATTTATTATTGTTTTCTTTTTTCTTGAGGGATTATTATCAGGCGTGTGGATTAAGAAACTTGCTCAAGATTTCAACCTTGTGAGGTGAGCTCTCTAACCACTGAGCTACAGGACTCCACACATCTTTAGGGAATGTCCTCACAATAGCTCTCTATAACTCTTATTGGCCTATGTTAGATGCTGATTTATCATTAACCAAACATGCAGACAGTGTTAATATAGTTTAGTTTGAATACTTTAACCATTTAACCCTGCATTTTGCTATGTCCTGAAGTCTGTCTTCTCATCGGCATCAAACTTCATGACCCTGTTGTTGTCTGACACAATAAATTCCTTATTCACCATCAGAGAACAAGTAGAAAGTCAATTATCCAGTTTGAAATATTGAGTATTATAAACTACAATTAATAGAACATAAAATGGAATCTGGAACACCACTGTCAGTTCAGCTCAATTGATAACACTAATGTCCAGATCCAAAGAACTGTGGCTCTGCTTGTCCCTTGTCCCCTCGCTCCACCACCAGCGGCCAGGCTTTCAGCCATGACACCCTAAAGCTTTGGAAATCCCTCCCCAAATCCTCCACTTTGCCCCCTTCCTTCTCTTTTAGATCACAACTGAAGACATTCCTCTTCGACCGTGCTCACAGTCACCTCCTCCCTCCCTCCGGTTCAGCATTAAGATCTGCCACTGTTAAGCGCTGCGAGATTTGCTCCACGTGAAGGGCGCTATTTACAGTAAAAATGCAAGTTGTTGTGGTGGGTTCCAGTCCCAGGTCGGGACTTGAAAAACAGACAAGGGGGTTGACAGGGAGCAGGGGCGGAGTAAAGACAGTGATTGACAGGGAGCAGGGGCGGAGTAAAGACAGTGATTGACAGGGAGTGGGGAGGGCGGAGTAAAGACAGTGATTGACAGGGAGCAGGGGCGGAGTAAAGACAGTGATTGACAGGGAGCAGGGGCGGAGTAAAGACAGTGATTGACAGGGAGCAGGGGCGGAGTAAAGACAGTGATTGACAGGGAGCAGGGGCGGAGTATAGACAGTGATTGACAGGGAGCAGGGGCGGAGTAAAGACAGTGATTGACAGGGAGCAGGGGCGGAGTAAAGACAGTGATTGACAGGGAGTGGGGAGGGCGGAGTAAAGACAGTGATTGACAGGGAGTGGGGAGGGCGGAGTAAAGACAGTGATTGACAGGGAGTGGGGAGGGCAGAGTAAATAATAATAATAATAATCCTTGCATTTGATATAGCGCTTTTCACATCGGGAGGACGTCCCAAAGCGCTTCTCAGAATACACTGTAAAGTGAATTGACTGTATATTTGTGGGCGAACGCGGCAGCCAATTGCGCACAGCAATGTCCCACAAACAGTCGTAGATTGAAGATGACCAATTTATTATTGTTTTTGGTTTTGGAGGGATTAAAAGACAGTGATTGACAGGGAGTGGAGGCGGAGAAAAGACAGTGATTGACAGGGAGCGGTGGAGGGGCGGAGTAAAGCCAGTGATTGACAGGGGGCGGTGGAGGGGCGGAGTAAAGCCAGTGATTGACAGGGAGCGAGGGGCGGAGTAAAGCCAGTGATTGACAGGGGGCGGGGGGGCGGAGTAAAGCCAGTGATTGACAGGGGGCGGAGTAAAGCCGGTGATTGACAGGGAGGGGGGAGCGGTTGGTGTCGGTTGCCAGGGGCTCGGGCGCCATGTTGCCTCGGATGGAAGCTGAGCCCAGGTGTCAGGGTCAGGAGTAGCTATGAGCAGTCCGGTGTTTGGCGGAGCCCCGCGGGAGGGTTGTTCTGAAGGGTCAGTGCGACTCTCGTCACCGGGAGCGGCCGGGGGGTGAGTTGTTAAACCTCGGCTCCCGCTCCATCACCCAGAACCCAGGCAGCAGCCCGAGCCTGCAAATGGCCTCAACTCCCCCGGGAGGGAGGGAGGAGAGAGAATAAACTAGAACATTCCTTCTTTATTGCTATCCAGAGCCCTCTCCCCCCCCCCACACACACACACATACATTTTGTTTTGCTGGAGTTTACACAGATAATAATAATAATAATAATCGCATTTGATATAGCGTTTTTCACGTCGGGAGGACGTCCCAAAGCGCTTCACAGAACACACTGTCAAGTGAATTGACTGTATATTTGTGGGCGAACGCGGCAGCCAATTGCGCACAGCAATGTCCCACAAACAGTCGTAGATTGAAAATGACCAATTTATTATTGTTTTTGGTTTTGGAGGGATTATTATTAGGCTCTGTGTGGAGTAAGGAAACTTGCCCGAGGTTTGGCCCTCTGCCTGGAATTGAACTCGGGTCTCTCGCTTGCAAAGCGAGTGCTCTAACCACTGAGTTACAGGACAAATGTGATGTGAGAGCTGTGGTAGTCCGGGTCATTTAATCTGCTGACGAGTCACTTTCTGGGCTCACACCTGAATAACGGCTTCACAATGCAATGCAGTTTATACATTGCCTTTTATGCTGTGGTGGGGGGGGGAGAACATGAAAGTGCTTCACTCCTCCCAAGCGCTTCACACCTGGCTGGACACCCAAGCTGGGACCCCTTTGCCGAGCGGAGGCAAGGTCCCTGTTCCGGTTTACTTTTTATTGATGAAACGTTATCTGGTGCAAGGAAGTCCGTTTCATAACTTGCAAAGCGCGAATAGAAATGAATCGTCCATTTCTCGGGTCACAGTCATCGTGGTGGACGTCTTACAACGGAAAAGTAGGCAGACCTGTGCTATTTGGATTTTAAGTTTAGTGCCATCCATCCATCCTGCTGCTGTGTTATGTGGTTTTGAAAAACATATTTAGTTGTGTGATTCACACAACTTTTCAAAGGTGTTTCCTTATTCCCACCATCCAGATGTGGCGGTATTAGCGGCAAATTGAGTTTAGGAGAATCCGGCAATCCTAATAGAAATGCTCGATCCAGACGGAAGCTCATGGACGGCTTGGAGGAAGCAGCAATAATGGTGCCGCCAGAGGATAAGCTTGAACAGGCTGAACAGAGAGCCAAAATGCACAAAGCCAATCAAGAGGTAAGAGCAAGTGGATGGACATATCACAAGATATAACTGCTCATAAGTTTTAGGGAATGGCAAAGGTTTGTGACAGAATGTCATTCTCTTAACTAAACAACAACAACAAGATTTCATTTATGGAGGACGTCCCAGGATCCTCAATTTAAATTCCAACCTCAGTTTTTGCTCCATAATTTTGTCTTTTATTGAGTAGGTCTTGGTGGCTGATCTTATCAGAATAAAAACTATATAATAATAATAAATTGGGATCATAAATCCCTCAGTCTCCTTTTGACTTGCCTGGCCATTGCGCCTGGCTCTGAATCTCCTTGTGGCAAGTGCATCTATAATTGTATTCCTTTACTGTAGGGAGCAATTGCTGTGCAGGAACTGGTGCGTTGTGTATCTCTGGCAAGGATTACCTATGGTGATTTTCACTGGAAGATGGCACAAGCGCATGCCAACCTAGCAGAAGGCTACCTGGAAATCAAAGGTAAGTAAAAAGAGGACAGGAAAAAATGGCATTTTACAATTACATATCCAAGCCTTCAAAGCATAAATAACTGGCAACCTTTAGTTAATAAAAAAGGAATTTTCTCCCAGGCAGTATGTCACTATTGCAAACTCTAAACCCACAGGTCATAATTTCAGTGTCCCACGCAAATCTATCAGACATGGTTAGAACAAACCTGAGTCATTCTTGATTGCTTTACTAAATGGAACTGGTCACAGTGGTATAGATGAAGAAAGCTATTCATGAATCTATAATTATTGGGGGAAATTGTGCCTAATCAAGCCAATGTGACTGAGACACTGGGGTAGGATATAATGAAAAGGTGCAGTGTGAAATATTAAATGTCCTTTGCAGTAAGATGTTATATTTCTTGGAGAAAAACATTATTGAAGGCATGTCTGGTCAAATGGTCTGTTTCTGTACTTTAACATTCTTTCATTCTGTGTTTCTAGGACTAGCATTGCAGGCAAAACAGCACGGAGAGAAGGCTAAAGACATCATGTATACCAATACTGAACTTCCAATGTCAGAGGAAGAGAGAGCGGATATTCTAAGATGTTTGATCAACATATTTCACACACTGGGTAGAGCACTAATGGGCCTTCAGAAATATCCTTTTATTTGTGCTTATAAAATTAACACTAGGATGTGAGAAACAACCTTGTTGGAAACAACTAGCAAATTGGTATACAAACCAATCTGATGATTTATTTACATTTTGGTTCTGGACTGCTATGTTGTATGTCGGTATTGATGGGCAGCTCACGTTCAGTTCATCACAATGAGGGGGGAGCTTGACGCGTGTGAAATCCACTCGTGTTTAAGAGTATCCTGTTCCAGCTACTAAGTTCTGGAGGCAGTTTCTGTTTGCCAGTTCTGGAATACACAATCACTTTCTCCGGGGGTGGTTAGGATACATATAGTACGTTTGCCTGGAGAACGCTGACAAGCCATTGGGGATGCCAAAGTTACAACAGCAACAACAAAAGTATTCATTTGAATACAATGCAAAATTATATTTGTATAGTGTCTTTCACTTCGGGGGGATGTCCCAAGGTGCTGGACATTCAGGGATTTGGACCCGGGGGGAGGGGGCGGGGGAGGTCCAGTGAAATTTTTAATTTCTTTCATTTTCTTTCATTTCCTCTTCCTGTGTTTTTTTCCTTAACTTTTCTCAATCTGAAGGAGGCCGAGCAAAACTTACTAAAGTCAGAAAAGATTGCAAATGAGCTTCGACTTGAGGAGGGAGTGACCCAAGAAGAGATGAGTGAGGTGGATGCCAAAATCTCTTTGTCTTTTGGAAGGTAAGTTTTAATTTTTTTAAAAAAACGCTCTTTATTTATATGACCCAGGAGTCAGCCATAGCTCTTTAACATATTTTGCAAAATAAGCAATTTTTGATATTTAGCTTAGAGAGGAGCACATCCTTAATTCTGTTCTATTGTAAACTTTCCTAAAGTTAGTGAATATTCCTGGGCGTTTTGCGTCATTCTGTTTCCACGGTGCTTGCTACAGGATGTCAGTTGGAAATAATTATAGGTGATGCTGATGAACAGCCAGAGGGTGCCGTTACCCAGCTTCTGGGGGTTGGTTACTCGCCTCCACAAGGGAGCGATGCACGGCAGTGTTTGGTATCCTGGCAACTAGAGCTGCAAACTTTCCTCCAGATGGTAATGACGTTTACTGCAAACTGATATTAAGAAAGCCAGTGGCAGAGGAAAGGAATGCTTTGCCCTCTACAGCTTCACTGGCGATAGTGCAATACATCCGATCTGAAATATCCAAGCGATGAGTCCCCTTTCATGTCAGATTAAATTACGTATGATTGTAGAGGATTTTTTTAAGAGATTTGTAGTAGGGTACAGCTTCAGTGGAGACTGATCATCCCACAGTAGTGGTCAAAAGTTGACATAAAAAGATTCCCATCGGGAGTTAAAGAATAGATAATTCCTCAACCAATTTCTAAAAGATTCAAACCAACAGTGTCACTGCTTCCAGAGCTTTTCACAGACACAGCATGAAATTACATGATTGGCCTGTGTGGGTGTTAAGGAGTCTTGGTCCTTTTGTAAATTTGTCCTAAGTTGTGTGAGCACAGTCTTTGAGTATTCACTGGGCCTCTTCAGTGAGGGCAAATTCCTTTATTATGTGCTAATGGAAAATGAGATAGCCAAAAAAATGCAGATTAAAAAGCTATAAAGAGCTAGGGAAGATAAAGGCACTGCTTGCAGATCTGTTTAGTAAGTATGTCAAACTCTTGAAATGTTTTAACCCATCCCGTGCCACAAGGCTTTAGAAAACCAACGATAAAATATTACCAGATAGAGGTGGTGAGTATATTTGGGAAACAGCCTAAACTGGTAGGTGTGTAGGTAAATGTGCTGAGCGGTATAGATCAGGAAAGTGATATAAATGAGAACACTCCTGTTTAGTCACTTTACGGTTTATAAATCATTTATAGACCATTACAGAGAGTATTAATGTATCTGGTTATGTATGCAAGTTAAAATGTGAGTAAAAATATTGGAATCTAATACCCAGTAGGGAGGGGCCCTTATGCTATCAGCCTGGGTTAATCCACTTCCCAGTCCTAGAGGTGGCAGTTGGAGTTCCCTGCATGAGGGGGAGGAAAAATCACCCAGGTTCCCACTGTCCAGTGACCTGAGGTGCACATGTGTAGATGTCAGAAGGCTCAACTGTGATGGCCCAGCTGACTTTGAAAATACTTTGCTGACACGTACTTTGAAGGCTCACAAAGGAAGAAAGGCCACTTGGGGGAAGGTACCATAGGGCAGCCAATGCCCATGGAACAATATCCTGGTAGAAGGAAAAAGTAATGCAATAACAACAACAACTTGCACTTAAATAGCGCCCTCCATGCTGGGCAGTGTCTCTGAGCACTTAACAATGGTGGAGCCCAAAGCCGAGCCAGGGGAAGGGGGAGGGTGACCATAGGTGCAGTCGAAAAGGTAGGTCTTCAGGAGTGACCTGAAGATGGGGAAGGAGGGGGCGAGGCGAAGGGATTAAGGGAGGAAGTTCCAAATTCGGGACGGAGTGGCTGAAGGCACAGCCACCAATGGTGGAGCGGAGGATTCAGGGCAATGGATGCTGATGCTGTCAGGCGCTGACAGCATCAGCATCCAAGGCTGCACTCTCCACCTCTCAAAGCCAGTCAGGAACCTCGGTGTTCTGTTCGACCCTGAGCTGTCCTTTCTCCCTCATATCCGCGCCACACCTGCACTGCCTTCCATCACCTCTGGAATATCGCCAGACTACGGCACTACCTCACCCCTCACGCTGCTGAAACTCTGGTCCACGCCTTTATCACCTCAAGGCTGGACTATGGGAACTCTCTCCTCGCCGGCCTTCCCGGCACCTCCCTCCACAAGCTGCAGGTCATTCAGAACTCTGCAGCTCGTGTACTGTCCCGCACCAGGCTTCGTGACCACATCACTCCCACCCTCGCTCGCCTCCACTGGCTCCCCATCCCCCAGAGGATCGAATTCAAGATCCGCATCCTTAACCTACAAGGCCATTCACGGCCTCGCTCCCTCCTACCTCTCTGACCTACTATCCCCCTACCTACCTGCCCGTACCCTCCGTTCCTCTGGCTCCGGTCTGCTCCACATCCCCCACCCCAACCGCCCTACCATCGGTGGCCGGGCCTTCAGCCTCTCAGCCCCGCGGCTCTGGAACTCTATCCCCCAGTGCCTTCGCCGCCTCCTCCCTTTCCTCCTTCAAGGCCGGTCTCAAGACCGTTCTCTTTGACCGTGCCTTCAGCTCCCCTATCGACTCTCTACCCCCTCCTTGCTCCCTCCCTTCCCTCCCCTCACCCTGACCATTTCCCCCCTGCTCGGGTCCTGACCCTACTGTACATCGCCTTGGGACGTCCTCCCGACGTGAAAGGCACTCTATAAATGGAATCTTGTTGTTGTTGTCTGAAGAGAGGCGGGAGTACTTATTTATCAATGTAATAAGTAATCTGCTATACTGCTGGATAGCCTGCACATGGTTAATTTGACTTGGCCCTTTTCAAACAGATGATCACATACAAGGAAAGGATGATGTCATCCAGTTTGCACTGCTCAGTAACCATTGACGTTCACTGAAGCAAAACAAAAGCTCCATTCATTGCATCCAAATTCTGGCGGCACCCCCCTCACACTCACAAGCAAAACGCTTAATATAGAACCAGCATTCTGTTCCCCCAACTCTATTCTTTGGAGATTAATTATTTTCTGAGACGAGAAAAATCAGGAACAAATGTGGGTTGAAGGAGAAAAGGAAGGAAAGTATGACAATTCTGCTGCCGGACAAAAGGGCCCTTGTTCTGCCAGAAACGGTGAAGTTCTGAATTTCAGGGGGGACAAGGGAGCCTAACAACACAAGCATCAGGATGTTCCTTATCCAAACAATAATTACTTTTAACTCAACCATGTTACTTTACCATTATGTTATTTTATAAGTCTTTAATTTCCTGTTTCCATTCTTCTCTGTATTTTTTCCATGTATTTTGATACTTATGAATTTGGCCCTGATATCCAAATGCAACTTTTTTCCACTTTGACAAAAGTATATAATCATTTCCTGCCAAATGGGAACTCTTGTTATAATTCTCTCAATTAGAGAGAGAGTGTATGTGTGTGTATATGCATTTGTCCATAAACACGCATGACTGTGTGTGTTTTCATCTCTGTGATTATCTGTTTCTTTCATACTCCTGCCTTAGCCTTTTGAGGAATTCTTGTCACGTCAAGTGGGGTGGAGAGGAGATGTATGCAAATCTCATTCACTTTTGATAGCAAGCCAAAGTTATTGAAGTGCTAGACATTTATCAAGAAAAACTCTTTTCCCTAACTCTTCTGATGTTGTAGGTGGATGAGGTACTGCCCAGTTTTATGTACCAGGGCAAAAGAAAGTCCCAGGTTGAGTTACCTGATTTCAGATGGGGCAGCTTTTGGGGTGTTGCGATCGGTCTCGGCACCCCTGGGTTAGAAAGGGGGAATTTGGTTTGAATTACCCTCCATAATTGCTTTGCATAGAGATCGCCCCAACTCCCACGGGAAATGACTGCGAACATCTGGTGAGGACAGGATTGGATCTTAGTTTTGATGCCTCCTTGAGGTTGAATAACCTAACACTCAAAAAAAAGCACTGTTAGATTTTTGTTTCTCTATAAGCAATAAGAATTTGCATAGGGATTGGATTGAGTTCAGATTAGTATCAAATGTGACAGTGTGATTCGATTTTTGCTGTGAATTTCCAGGTTGTACATGAAGTCAAAAAAGCCAGCCCAAGCTGTGGAGTGGTACGAAAAATTGCTTCAACTGGTGAAATTCAGAAAAGGTGAAAACAGCATGGAGTGTGTGGGTGTCTATGAGGACCTGGCAGCCGCAGAGCAAGCCAGAGGGGCCCAGGACATGAACTTCCACTACTTGCTACTGGTAAGAGCCTCAAATGAAGAGGGTACAAAGAGCTGGGGGAAAATCTTGTAAAAATGTGTTTATATATTATACATGCGCACGAAAAGGCACAAACACACTGCAACTGAAATAAGATTATGTTAAGATTAAGAGTTTAGGACAATAGAACCATAGAAATTTACAGCAAAAAAGAAGACGTTCGGCCCATTGTGTTTGTGATGGCTTTTTAAAGAGCAGAACTTTCACTCCCTTACCTTCCCTTTCCGCTGTAATTGATCCCTTTTTAGGTATTTAGTTCCCCTTTGAAAGTTAATATGGATTGTGCCTCAACCACCGCTCTGGGCAGGTCGTCCCATCCTTCAGATGAGACGTTAAACTTCCATGAAGTAGGCAGTAGCTACAATAGGCTTAATGGCCCTTTGGCTGGGGAAGGAAACATAAGCCAGAGTTGCCATTCCTGACGGAATCCAGTGACGCTCTCCCCTTTACTAGAAAGTGGACATATGTGGATGTCAAAGACGGCTTGGTATGAAAAGGGATTTGGCCACAATCACTCCTTCATTCAAATAGTTTGTGTAGGTTCACACTTGAAGAATTCCTTCCTTGCTTTGACTGAACTCGTATCTCTCCTTTGCAAAGTACAGTAGAAGTTAAATGAGCAGAAGGTATTTTAAAATCTATACTGAAGTAGATGTTGCACAGATTTAACTAAGAATGGGACACTTAACTTACATTTTTCACTCTCAGTTTGACTTATTTTATGCAGAGTAAAGATTAATCTTGTGCTTTAACCTAGTTATTGTCTTTCTGTAAAAACTGCATTTCCAGCCCCGTTTTTTTAAAGTCATTTGACCTCTTGTTAAAACATTTCTGGAACTGCCCAGTTATTTCTTCCTTAAATGGGCAAGTCAGCAGAATGCAGAAATCAATCGTAAATCCTTCATCCTCAAAGAGTTGAAGGTTGTGGTCTCAATATAAACTTGAGGAATTAAGTACTTGAAGATCCCAAGATTCCCATGTTGCCTCTGCAAGCATATTCTAACAAAAAAAAACCTCTTATGCTGCAAGACTAAAAGAGTTTCTGCCCCCCGACCTCCCCCCACCCCAACAGATCATCCATTGGGTCAATGATGAAATGCATTGAAGTGCGTTAAATATTTCTATTCAATCATGTAATAAATAAACCTAAGCAACTACTGAAATGTTGAATATATGGAACTTCTCATTTTTTAAAAATAAATTCCATAACCATATATGGCTGGCGGGTGAGTGCAGGATTTGGCTGCGATGCCTCTGGCATGTCCTCTCACAAAGAACGTTTGATGTTGGTGGTGTGAGGTAATGTGTTTTCACAGTGTTTTAGTGTTTTTATTCTTTATTCAACCATTGTGCTTTTCTATCCACAATGTAAAAAAATAAAGCCCATCTATCACTGCCTGTTGCTCTAACTTCTAGGCCTTTCCATCAGACCTCCTGTTGCAAAACTGTGTCCTAAAATAACCCTGCTCTGTTTCCTGCCGAGTATCCTGCCTTGAAGAGTTGGCAGTCTTGGTATAATACTTGTGATATTGATCTGATTCGCCTTGTTTCACAGGCTCGTTCCATAGTACTGAGCAATGTTCCCTCTGGACAGGAGGCGGCACAAATAGCTCATACTCTGGCAGAGGCCTATGTTGCATCCAGGAGGCCTGAGCACTACGGTATGTCTGCTAAACCTTTCCAACATTGTTTTCATTTGTTTGATTACAGAGCATTAAAGATTGCCCATCATGACTTCTCTCTTTAATGGTGAAGCACAAATTGTAAAACAAAAAGCAAAAGGATGTAATTGTTTTTAACCTAAAAATGCAGATTTAAAAGAGTAACTCTGGTGTGTCTCCAGTATGTTCTACTGTTTAATATTCAGTAAGCGCATTTCTTTGATGCCCTGAATACACAGCACACAATGGCCTCTACACATATGAACACTAACTAGACAACTTCACTGAGATCATTAGGATGGTACTTTGAAAATCATGGTATGACACTGCTCCAAAATAACCTAAAAATCCCTGACATGAGAGTACGAGCAATGTGCAAGGTTCTAAATGTGGAAATAAACATTCCCTTGGTTAGGGGTATCCCTCACTACTATTTTGTTGTATATCTGATCTCAGCTGAGGTGGCTGTAAGAATGCTTCAGTTGTCCTTAACACCCCTGGACCAGGTAAAAACTCAGCCAGTTCTGTTCCTGATCGCTATCCATATCCTCTCCTGGAAAACGCAGGAGCGAAAACATTTGGATAGAGCGTGAGAATAAAATTGGGCTTGACTGCAATGCCTCCCATGGCTGAATAACCTTCTAACAGTCCGTGGTTGGATTCACACAAGAGCAGCCTCTTGAGCGAGGGTGGTCAGTCCCTGTGGAATGTATTTTCTCAAAATCATGAGGGCATCTCCTATCACAAAGGTTGTCTGTGTTGATTGGAAATCCCTTAGATTTGGCTGAGAGGTACTACAAGGAGAGTCTGAAATCTTATCAAACAGCATTGGGAGCAGATCACGCAACATATCTGTCAATCCAGGATAATTATTGTCGCTTCCTGGTCTTGAACAAGAAGTATCCGGTAAGAGCTTGTATTGAGTTATTTGGGTTCATCATAGCAAGAGACAGCAGGTCCAAATAATTCTCATATTTGCATTCAGTGGTAGTATGAGCATGGCATAGTTCATGTCCAGTGTATGACTGATCTCCCCTTGAAAAGATAAACCTACTTTCCATCTTTCTCTATCCTGTGCGGACTTTGTCAGTAAAAAAGCTTCACTTACAAACTTCATTCTGTGGAGCACTTTTTTGAGGCATGCCTATTGAAAAACCCAAATTAAAGTATCTTATCCGATGTTCAAGCAAAGACTTAATTACACTGACCTCATAATAGTGAAGAGACAGCATTCCACTCAACCCTGTTCACAGAGAAATGATTTTCAACCTCTTTCTGTGTCTTGCTAAACAGTACAGTAGCAGAAGTGATCAAGTATTTCCCTACAGTGATAGATACGTTTGTATGCGCATTTGCAGGAGTATATTTCTGTGTATCTGACTGTGTATGCAAGCACACATTCCTGTAACTGAATGTGTACATATATAGATATAGTATATATATGTATTGTATTGGAGCACAGAGCTGCAGGATTTTTCACGCTCAACGTGAAAACCTCTACAATGTAATTTGTTGTTATTTGTTGTTATTAATACTGACAGAAGAAATATCCTGTGATTCTTACAGGATGCTTTAAGAATGCTGCAGGAATCTCTCCCAGCCAAGCTAGCTATCTTTGGAGATTTCAGCTCTGAGGTGGCGGAGACATACGAACTGTTGGGAGGAATGGAATTAGCAGAAGGACATCAGAGAACAGCCTACAACCAGTTTAAAACAGTGAGTGGCCAAGACTTGGAAAATGTTTACTTTTGTTGATGTCAATGAAATAGCCCTGAGCAAATCCTAATCCTAATTATATTCCTTGCATTTGATGTAGGGCCTTTCGTATCAGTAGGACACTTCAAAGCGCTTCACAGAATTTACTGTGTAGGGTGGTTTCTATGTATTTGTGGGCAAATGAGCAACTCAATAGCTCTATTTTTGTTCTTCATACCTTCTCTGGAAAAGGTTGTTGTTTGTGTAAGTGTTGTGAATTGGATAATATTTATCAAACTCAATGAGAAAGATATTTAGGGTGCTGGTCATTAACATGCTGGGCAGTGAATCATTGCAACTCTGGTATAATAATCTGGGTAATATTCTAGCCCGTTCAGAAGCAATTTCCCTGAACTCCCTTTTCTATTTGCTTTCGGTCCAGCAATTCTATTACTGTCTTCAAACTACCTCATGTTGCTTTGCGGCTATGTGTATTCTTTGATAATTTTAGGTGATGACGAATAAAGGGCAATCCTTTTTCTGTACTAGTTTGCTGAACATGTACCGTGGAAGATGAGACTCTGGATCAGACACTGGCACGTAATCCAGTGTGATCTGATATCCTGTTCTGTTTATAAAGATGCCACTCCCAAGACAGCAGCTGCAGTGAGATTAATATTTACCTTCTAGTAACCTGAGTAGGTCCCGCAATGAATGATCCAAAGTTTAATTACAATTGTGTTCAATAATAACCCCGTATTCCTAAAATGATATATCCCATGGGTGACTATGGCTTTCTGGCAGTTTCTTCCACATGTATCCAAGACCCATAACTCATGAGATGCAACAGGTTAGTCATTCTCCAAAAGTCTTTATTGGAACAGTTAATGTCATTATGTGATTGCTCAACACTTGAGGCAAATGTCAGTGGGTGGGAAGGCAGCCAATATTTATCTCTTTCCCTGCTAAGCTTCATATCACTCCATCCAGTCACTCCATCCATCAGCTAGCCAAGAACCAGCTAAAACATGACCAAAAGCCTGAAAGTCGGTGGATCTACTTGTGCTATTGATCATCTTTAATATCACTTTCTCTTATTTTTTACATAAAATGCAGAACAAGTTACTATCAAAATATGGATGTTGACTCTAAAATCCAATGTAAGATATACTCTGGGATTGAAAGGGATAATCATAATAATAATAATCTTGCATTTGATATAGCACTTTTCATGTCTTCTAGACGTCTCAAAGTGCTTCACAGAATATATTGTAAAATGAATTGACTGTATATTTTGTGGGCGAAACACGGCAGCCAATTGCGCACAGCAATGTCCCACAAACAGTCGTGGATTGAAGTGATTGTTTTATTATTAGTTTTATTTCTTGAGGGTTTATTATTGAGCATGTGGAGTAAGGAAACTTACTCAAGGTTTCGCCTTGCTGGGAATCGAACCCAGGTCTTTCGCTTGCCAGGCGAGTGCTCTAACCACTGAGCTACATGCCTCATGTATCATGTATTAGAGCAAATTTTCAAATTACAATATCTTCTGCTATTTTGTACTCTATAAAACCTGCTGAAGAATCTGCCTAATCCTATATATAGAACCTTTGATGGAGGAAAGAACATCTACAGTTTCTCATTCACGGATTAGTGTTAGTAATCGGAATCTCCTGGACATTAGAGAGACTTTGCTTTGTTAGGTATCCCTTTCATTCTTTTGGTTAAATTTGAGCACTAATACCATTATATTGTAGGAATCAAAATAGCACGTAAGAATGAAGAAGACAACAAAATAACCATAATCCTTGCATTTGATATAGCATCCTATTATGTCGTTCAGCTTTCTCAAAGTGCTTCACAGGAGTTGCTTTGAAGTGCAGTGACTGTATTTGTAATCCAACGCGGCACCAATTTGCACACCGCAATGTCCCATTAACAGCCATGAAATAAATAACCAATTTTTGTCAGAAGGATTGTTGGCCAGGACAACATCCGACATATTGTCTGCTAAATGTGATAATTCTCTCTACTGTTGAAATCAGTTAAAACTCTGAACTGTATCTTCTTATCACTTAGTCTTTGGCATCCATCTCTGTACTAGCTCCACCTCTATCTTTGTACTAGCTTCATCTCTATCATTGTACTAGCTTCACTTCTATCTCTGTACAAGCTCCACCTCTAGCATGCAGAAATATTCTACATTTTCAACGACCAAAATCCTGTTTTTATCATCCAACTAAATCCATCTCTATGCCTGAGTCAGGATTTTCTTTTATGAAACCTCTGGAATGAATACCTCACTGTCGAGGAATGTTAAACCAAACAGCACCCTGGGAACAAGTTATGGCTATGTCATCTATCTACAATAAGCAGCAAACACTATTTGGATGATGCCAGATTTTCAATTTTTACTCTTGTGCTTGTGCACTGAAAAAATAATGCGCATTTAATCAGCACATTGCATGATACAAAATAGCACTGCCACAAAGCACTGCATCCTGCACAGATAAAAAGCTAAATGAGGAGACTGCCTCTTCAAAAGTGTCTGACTCCCCCCAGAGGCTTTCCGTCTGCAACAGGGTCCCCAACTGTTCTATCACATTTAGGTTTTTCTTACTGACAAAATATAACATTAATAAAAGTACAATGATTTTAACTGTTGCCAAGTTTCTCTTCAACCTCCCGCTCACCCTCCATCCCAAATCCCATTGCATCTGTCTATGGCCAATGAATTTCAATGGCAACATTTAATAACAATGCATTCTGTTTTTATTCAAAGATGAAAACACGAGCAACAATGCTAGAATCTAACTGGATGTTTTATCTCTTTGTTTGGCAGTGCCTGGACATTCAAACACTTCTCTATGGTTCAATGCACAAAAAGACCAGAGAGACCCAGCAGATGGTTCAACTCTTATCCAAGTAAGTAATGCCTCAGTGACCAAAAGATCAATGCTTTGAGCTGGCTAAAGCTCTCTGAAACAGTCCAGGCTGCTGCTTAACTCTATCAGTACTGTTAATTTTACAATATTCTTACGCTGAAATAAAACCCCAGGTAAGAATATTGTAAAATTAACGTGAGACTTTGATGTGAAAATGGCAGGACAAAGATTGAGCACTGTTGATTTTCTTGATTATCAAGAACAATACTATTGTGTTGCATAAACATCCCTCTTTTTCCCATTACACAGCCAGTTCCTGTCAGCTAATCACATCCCTGTTGTTAGACTAAATTCTTGCTTCTCCTTCCCTGGCCCCATTCAGATTCATGCAGTGAAATGTGCATCATGTGATCAAACAAGAAGCATTACAAACTTGTGATAAAAACAAACCTGATCCAGGATCATAGTAGATGAGAGTTACACAGACACCCATTACATAAAAAGAGTTGGACAAACCAAATTTGTAAGACCTCTTGTCAATTGTGGACAGTTGGTTATGTTCACATGCTGAATTAAATGGATATATTCGTTCCACTGTTCATTCCTGTGTGGTCTGAAAGTTCATTTTCACTCCCAAAGTCACATTATACCACGGTTGAATGTAGATTTTTGTTGATCTTGCCTCTTCAACCTTGATTGCATTCTAATCAGTTTTGCTGGTAACAAAACCTCCCCCCTGGTGCTGACCAGGCTTTTGTAATGAATATAAATATGATGTTTTTAACAAATATTAGATTCTGAACCACATATCTGACCTTTTTGGAGGGTTGTAATTAATTAAAGAATATTATTTGTTTCCAAATAGGTCTCCAGAAATAACTGTGAAAGGTGAGAGGATGCCAGACGATTATTTAAAGCAAAGACGTCCATTTTGTTCAGTGTTTGGAGGAATCACAAATAATTTCAATTACACATAATCTCGGTTGTGCCATTTCAAACAACCAGTAAGTGGATATTAGGCATTTTCTACGTGAGAAATGGTATATGAAGCTGTCTAGTCTGTTTTCACGTTATTATTAAAGAAATGTAATGATGACAAGCTGTAATATGTCTATATTAAATAAATCAGACTCTGGGCAGTGCATGTTATTTATATGATGCCTCCAGTCTTGAAATTCAAAAAATGGTGACTGCATTTGCTTGTCCATCTAACACTTTTTCTCTTCCTGGTTGCAAGGTCCATGGACAATGGTGGTGAGGCTAAAGCTAATGATTCCAACACATAAACAAAGCATGATTGTTTTTTGTAAAAAATAAACAATTCTTGAAGTTGCAAAAAGTGTTTTACTCTTAAATGCAAATATTTTTACAAAAGAATACAGAAAAACAAAACAGCAACATGATTAAATTGTTTTCACATAGTTAGCCAGAGAAGTAAATGTAAAATGTGTGCAGAACTATCAGGTTAGCAACTCCAGGTTTATTCATTCTGAAAACCCATATTATGATCTCTCAGATTGAATTAACTTTATCAGTAGAAAGAACCCTCTCTAAATTGCACTAAGGAGTCTGAATCCTTTCAGATTTTAGCAGAATTGAGTTTCCAACTTTCTCATGTTCTTAGCAAACCTGTGAATGTTAAGTTAGCTTTTAAACTCACTTTGAGCAAAAAAAAATGATTTCAATTTGTGGAGAAACCTTCCATCAATTTCATCCTTGTATATCCTGCTATCCCCACATTCTCCCAAAGCATATCCAGTGTCATTTCAACTCATTTGCTTCAACATGATCGGCAATAATTTATTCTACCCTTTGTATGAAATATATGTCCCTGACTTTCTGATTTACTTTGAAATTATGTTTTCTAAATCTGAAATCTTTAAACAATTTGTCTGAATCAACTTTACCAGTCCTTTCCATGATCCCGAAAAATCTTTCTTTGGTAACCTTTTCCTCCTCTTTAACACTCAGAATGAATCCCAACATTTTTAGCTTTAACATTTCTCAACTTGGATTCCCAGGACCTGGAATATGGAGTTTGTGCTTGCTCAACACGAATGACAAGCAAGAAGCTTTTGTGGTCTCAAAAACTGGAAGGAGTTGGGGGAAAACAATCATCAATATTGAACATATGACAAGAAATTCTCAAACCTCCCTTTCCAGTTCACACATTAACTATCTGTTATGTTAAAGCAGGTTTGCGCTGTGAACATCTTAAGCGTACACATTCATAATGTCGTTTATTCTGATTACATATGTTGAAACAGCTACTTTAAATCCTTTCCCACAAATAATGGCTAAATTTGCTGTTAAGGAAATAGTTTTTTTTAAAAAAATCATCATTCCTCACAGATTTCAGCAGTCCACTTATAGCATTAGTCATGAGCCTGGAGATGTAGGACCAAAATCCTGGTTTCTTCTGATGTTCTGAGCCATTCTCCACAGGACAGTTAATTGCTAATCTTGGAAGGTTATCAAGCACAGCCATGAAGCACAGGTTAATAATAACTTGCATTTATATAGCGCCTTTCATTTTAAAATAAACAGCTCCAATACAAAATTAATTACAAATGAAAGTGAATGTTGCTATATAGGCAAAAGCAGCAGTCAATCTGCACCCACCAATGTTCCATAAACAACAATAAGAATAACTAATTTAAATTCAGGTACAATTTTGGAAGAGGAGGGGAAGTGAAGCCAGGATAACCAGGAAGAAGACTTCTTGGGTCTTAGAGGGAAAAAGATAATAGCGTGCCTGGACTATCTTCTAACAGCTGATTGGAAGTGGCTTTGAGATGTGATCAAAAGAATTGTCCTTGTTGCAATTAGGAAATGCAATGAAAAGGGGTCATTTATTTTATGAGATGGGAGAAAGTTAGTAGTAACATCTGACGATACATTTTCAGCCGCAGAATATACAAATGCTGTGAGTGACCCACCACCTTTACAGTCGCTTTCAAATAACCTATGCATATATATATGTAATGCACTAATTTGTGAAGATTTGAGTTGAATTAGCAAGGAATGAGGTATGGGAGGATAAAGTTGACATTTTCTGTCCATTTTAGTAATTGCTGACCAGAAATGGATAAGTACGTAATTTGTGGATCAAACCATCCTCTTCCCCAAATGTCAGCAATGGCATCTCACCATGAAGCTTTATTTTGAGTTATATCTCTTAGGGATTTCTTCTCAACCCAATGTAGTGTAACTAGTTCAGTGTTTATTTTATATTTAAACGTTTTTAAACATATTTGTATACAGCAAAAGTAATATTTTATTATACTTTTACTGTAATATTTGTGTTGTGAGTGATCTAAAAAAGTACAAAAATGGTTGGTAGGGAGAGTGAAATTCTTTGGCCTGCTGGTTCACTAAGGGTTAAAAGGTGCATATAGTCAGCTACTCCAGATTCTGCTGCATAGAATAGTTAGGTCAAGCTTGTGAATGTCTTTTGTTATAATAGACAGCTCGGCGCAGTTAGTTATATTAGGAATTATCATTAACTTCATTTTGGCTGGGATATGGAGATTCTGATGAGAACTGGGGAGGCAAATAGGAACATTATTTGGAGGAGGATAGTTAAATTTTGTAGATTGTTGAATAACTAAATTAACTACTAGTAATTCTTAGCTAACTGATTGAAAGCACTGATTACAATACTGGCTGCTTTTGGGTATTGTAATATTTTAGCATTTGATTTTGAACTATAAGACTTTTTGAACAGAGGTACTTCAGGGAGGGCCTCAGAACAGTAACTACTTGTACTGTGATGTTCAATGTCAAAAGTTACTCCTTGAGGATATTCCGCAAAAAATAACAGCCTTTGTTTCCTCCTGGTTTTGTTCGTCAAAAGCTTTTCCCTCTCTTAGTGAGTCTATGGCACATTCCTGGACCTCACGGTTAATTGCAAATAATTACTTTTCTCCGTGTTTTTCTGGCATCACAAGACCTCAGAAAACTTGGTGTTACAAATGTCACTGATTTATTTGGGGACAAAAGCTGCATAAATGCATGATTATAAGCCATATTAGTGACTTCCAAGCAAGGTGTTATATGAAAAAAAAGCGTTATGTAACCCTGGTCAATGCCATTCAACCTCTACCTGTGCACTCACTAGTAGTGCAGTTCAACCATTTCATTTCCTAGTCTTGAGGGCTTAATGCTTTTTTTCAAAAAAAAGTTCTTTACTATTCATTTGACTGAAACTCATCAAGGTTCAAAATTGCAATTTTCTTATAGAAACTTGTAGAACCTGTGACCTTGCCCATGGCCGGTGAGTTCGAAATGGTAATATGTTCCATCATTTCTGAATCAGAAGCTCGTAATCCACTGTCTGCAGTAGCACCTGCCTCACTGTAACTTCTGTTCTCTGATTCTCTTTCTTTAGCACTGTAATTATCTGCTCCGCGTTCATCTGTTTCTTCATCCAGTTCTTCTCTTCTTATTTCACCTCCAGTGCCAGACATTGACATGATTCTGTTCATGTCCATGTGGAAGGTTACTGATGAATCTGTGGAATCAAAGCCTCTTTGAATTAACCCTTCATCATACATTTTAGTTGCTACCTGCTGTGGCCATGCACTTTGCTCAGACAGGTTACTTCCCATGTCTTCAATCACTACCATTTTATGCACAGTTACTTTAGATGCTGGTTCTCTGAGATTTGTTGGCTCTTCATTGAAGTCATCTTCATCTGGTGCAGTGCTGTCCAATGAAGTTGTGACACGCTCTTTAGTATCTGTAATTTTTATTTCCATTCCACTTTCATCATCTGCATCTTCAGACATTTCAAGGCCTCTCCTCCTCAAAATACTTAGTATTTGTTGCTGATCATCAAATGGCATCAATCTTGACATCATTTCATGTTCATTTGCTTCATTTTCATTGTATTGACCCATCAGATGGAAATCTTCAGGATCAAGACTTTGTGACATGTTCACTTCTGCCACGATTGTGACAACACCACTTTCAGAAGATTGTTCTACATTTTTAATATCAACTGATATATCATCAGATCCTTGTTTGTCATCACTGGTGAGCATAGAAAGCTCATCTCTAACATTTTTAGGCACAGCCTCTTTCAGGTGTTCTAAAGCTCCTTTGAGTTTAAGTTTAGGATCCTCTGTCCCCTCACTCAGTAGTTCCACAATAGATGTTTTGACATCTTGTGGAACTTTAATAGACTTTTCTATGATGGTTTGGGTGAAGAACTCTTTTGGGAGGGTATCTCGTTCTGTAGCTTTCAAGTATTCAGAGTCTTCTGAGTCACCATCATCATCATATTCATTTGAAGAGGAAGCTCCAATTGACCTCTCTGTGATTTTCTGCAAAGTTGGTTCTGTGTTTGATAGCATTGTTTTCCTAAAGTCCTCGGCAGTCATTGAAACATTTAGTGCTTCTTCATGCTGGTCAATTATTTCACCTAAAGGTGAAGATTTATCTTCATTCTCTTCTGTACTTAAACTGTCTTCAGGCATGGAAGAATCATCAGCTTCAGTTGGGTATTCAAAAGCTTCCTCACTTACTTCAAAGTTCACCGATATGTTCTCCAAAGATTCCCTTCCTTTAAAACCTAGCTTAAACAATCCTTCCAAAACATTTTCTGTTGGTGTACCTGTTAAATGCTCCAAAGCCTCTTTTAGTTGATGTTCTGGACTCTGCTCCTTTTCATTCAATAGCTCCTCCAGACTATACTCATATGAATCATCCATAACTTTTTCTGTTGTTGACTGTATAGTGATTTCTCTTTTGGTCGTACCATCATCCAGGATCTCTTCCTTCTCAACATAAGTGACATTGGTTTCCGGTTCAAAATTCATTTTTTCTAAATCAGTGGGTTTTATAATCTTATCCCCAATTTTAATGTTGTCTCTCGGACTCCCTTCTTTGCCGATGATGATTATTTGATCATCATTGGATTCCTCCTTGGACATTATTTCCTTCTTGTCTGTTCCATCAGTTTTCAAATATTCTGATGTTATTTCTACTTTTGCCCCATTTTCAGCAGAACACACAATTTTTCTAGGACCGGTAAGTTTCTCCACATCATCAAGGCCTGTTTTGAAGTCTTCCTCTCTTAGAGCATGTCTAAATGCCGACATATCCTTTGTGGACTGAGTCGCATAGTTTTCATCTTTGGATGGTTCAGCAGACTTTCTGTTCAAATCATGACCTCTCATTTCATTTAAAGGAGCAGGTGGTGTTGGTTCATTGGACTTGGAGATTTTATTTGCATCATTTGATGCATTGCCTTTGCCCTCCAATGTGGATTGACTTGTGGTCACTGGTGTGTGATACTCTGGCCATTGCATGCCTGGTTTATCGACTCTCACTTCACTCTTTCTTTCAATCTTTGCAGGGAACACTTTGTGTTGAGCCTGATGGTCCTTTCGTGTACTGTATCGGTCATAATATGTTGGACTAATCATGGTGGAGCCTCTATAGGCATTTCTTGTCACTGCTGAAGCAAACATATCTTTGTGAACCTTTGAGGACAACTTTTTGTCGACATTAGGCAGATCTGCATTAAAGAATAAACTTTTTGTTGTCTTTGTTGCAGATGGGTTAGAATTTGGTATTACTCTTTTTCTGATATTCATGACATCTCCTCTGACGTTCATAGGAATATCCCTAATGGGCATCCATTTTTTTTCACCTCGCCATTCAATAGTTGGCCGTACATCAAATGTATGTGATGTAGTATCCATGCCTGTTGAAATAATAAATTGTTTAAAATGAGAAGGTTACCCAAACACTTAACTTTTTCTCCGGGGAATTTTTCCTTCTTCAAGGTGAGGATATTAGTAGTAAGCGTTAGTGCAATTGCAAAATGTAGTAAAATATTTGAAAATATATTTTACCTCGCCTGAATTTTTGTAAATGATCTTGCGTCTCCAATTGTTGATTCTTTTCTGCTTCTAACAAAGCTCTGTCGAGACAATCAAGAGAGTGATTAGAATAATCTGTAATAAATTATATATTTTCTCCCAAGAGGAACACCTACATCCATGAAAACCCCATTCCTGTGGGGCTAAATTTACAAAGACCAACAACATCCTCTTGTAACAATGTTACTCTTTGAGCAGGTATCTGGGATTGGATATGAAGTGCAACAGAAATGTAGAGTAGGCTGATTTCAAAGTAGCAGTGGTGAAATTGTATTTTTTTAATAATATAAATTCTTCCGCTATACAAATGTAATTTTGTTGTTTTTGTTAATTACTGTTAGCAATTATGCGGACAATTGCATATTTCTATTGTTGTTAAAAACTATTTTTCCTTTTGTCTGTCCTGTAGCTCAGTGGTTAGAGCACTAGCCTTGCCAGCGAGAGACCTGGGTTCGATTCCCAGCAGGGTGAAACCTTGGGCAAGTTTCCTTACTCTACACGCTTAATAATAATCCCTCAAGAAAAAAAATAACAATTTGGTCACTCAATCCACGACTGTTTGTGGGACACTGCTGTGCGCAATTGGCTGCCGCGACATGAAAAGCGCTATATCAAATGCAAGGAATATTATTATTATTAGTGCTGCTTTTAGGTCAGGTATTATGAGGTCAGTTCATTTCAGGGCTTGTCGGCACTACTGCAAGGCTGTGTAATAAGAACTGGTTGGATTGAAATGTTGGTGATGAACACAATATGCTAAAGACTCCCTTGACAGGTCAATCAGTAGGTTCAATGACCAATGTGAAGGTTATGCATTCCCACTATGACTCCTGTTGTTAGCTGATTTCACCTGGCATAAGCAGTTGGGGGCACTATGATAAGCCTCATTGCCCAGGATTCCCATCTCTGAATAACATTCACATTCTTGAGTTTGATTTCCTCCACAGCCTTTCTCCACCCTATCTGTGCCAGTGTTCTCTTTGCATTGAAAAATCCTTGCTTGGTGTTCACTACTGCCATTGTTAAGGTCTTTGAAATGTCTTTAATATGAAGATTACTGTGAAAATTGTTTTGTATGGATACCAGGTGAGGACAAGATTGGATTTTCTGTTGAAGATTCCAAAGTCAATTAGCCTGACAAGCACTCACTGTCTAAGGTCTCTTGAGCGAGGATCCGAAATGCAGCCGGCGCCTGTGGAACTATGTGCCAGCATGAATCACTGTTCAGAAGAAGGAGGTGGGGTGGGAGGTGGGGGAAGAGTATTTAAGACCACAAATACATTCTTTAAAGCAAAACTATGATGGAGTGTTTTTAACTCTCTGAGCCAGACATTGGAACACTCTGCTAATAGTTGGCACTGCTCAATACAGCCATCCAACTTGCTGCTAGAGTCAAATGTATTAAATCACCAATAATGAATGCCAAGAAAAACAGTTTATCCACGTTCTTGCCATGTAAAATAATGTAGTACAAATTAAAAACAGAAACATCAAGCTCAGTGCCTGGACTAGGGTCATCTCAGGTTATTCTGTCCTACCTCAGGGTCTCTAGGTTTGGGAGGAAAAAACAAACTACCAGCCAAGAATATGATCACTCACCAGTAACCCCTGTTGGAAAGTGTGGGTGTGTAGACATTGGGTAAACCACAGACCCATAGAAATTTACAGTACAGAAAAAGGACATTCAGCCCATCGTGTCTGTGCTGGCTCTTTTAAGGAGCACTCCTGTCAGAACCATTTGCCTGCCTTTACCCCATACCTCATTAGATATTTATATCTTGACAGACTAACTTAGATTTCTATCTAGTTCCTTTTTGAAAGCTAGTATGGATTCTGTCTCTTAACACGACTCCTGGCAAGGCAAAGCATATCACAATAACTTGTGTATGTGAAAAAATTCTCCTTATCTCTCCATTTGCTCATCAAGTCATCAAGTACTGGATGAGAGATAACTTTCTTCAGTTGAACGTCAACAAGACTGAGGCTCTCCTGATTGGCTCCCGTCAGCACCTCCTCACCTCAGGCGCTGACAGTATCACCATCCATAGTTGAACACTGAACCTTGCTAAGCCAGTCCGGAACCTTGGGGTCTTGTTCAACCCTCAGCTATCCTTTCTACCCCACATTCACGCCGTGACCCGCTCTGCTTTCCCCCCCCGCAACGTCGCCTGGCTCTGACACTCTCACACCGCAGGCCACCGAAACCCTCATACATGCCTTCATTCGAAGCTCGACTATGGAAAATTCACTGCTTGTCGGCCTCCCCAACTCCTCCCTCCACAGGCTGCAGATCATCCAGAACTCTGCAGCCCACGTCCTCTCCCACACTAGGCTCCCTATCATCCCCAACTCCACTGGCTTCCCATCATACAGAGGATACAGTTCAAGATCCTAGTCCTCACCTTCAAAGCCCTCATGGTCTTGCTCCCCCCTACGTCTCCGACCTCCTAACCCCCTACCATCCTTTTCGCTCCCTCCGCTCAGCGGGCTCTGGCCTGCTTCACATTCCCCGCCTTGCTCGCCCCACTATCAGTCTGCCACTCTGCACCCACCCTCTGGAACTCCATCCCGCAACCCTACATTTCGCCTCCTCCCTCGCCACCTTCAAGACCCACCTCAAGACCCTCCTCTTCGACCGTGCTTTCGATCTCCCTACTTCCCACCCCCCTGGCCTCCACACCGCCCCACCCCAACTCTCAGCTTGTGACGTAACTCTGCCATCCTCCCGACGTGAAAGGAGCCATACAAATGCAATTTTGTTGTTGTTGTTTGCTAGCTATCTTAAATTGATGCTAGACACTGAGGAGAAAGAAGTTCAGTTTCAGTTCTGATGCCATGAATAGCATAATCTAAGCAGACTATCTTTCCCTTGACGATTCTTCCCAGCAACTCCATCCTTGTACTTTCCACCCCGACTCGTTGTCAAACTGAATCATTATAGTTTGAGATGTTACCCTGCATGAAGGGCGCTACATACAGTAAATGCAGATTGTTATTGCTGAATCCAGCTGCCCAGAATATCTTTAGGAGCCAATGGTAACTCAGTTCAACAGGCCTGATCGTTTGTTTGTCTCTATTCTTCCATTGTCCTGCTCTCTGCTCATTTAGGAATGAGCTCTATTTTTCAATATTTTTTAAAAAATTGTTTATTTTCAGGTGTTACTCTTCCAGATAACACTTTAAAATCTCTGATGTTTTGATGTTGTGGGCCCTGTGTCAAATGCGTGGAGTATTAATTATTATTAGGGCTAAATTGCCGCCACTGCCAATTCGAAAGTATTTTTGTCTGACTCAATTTAAAGAGTTTCTCCTCAGTCTCTCATGCTACTTACAGCAACAGCTGTTAGCTTTCCTCTTCAGCTCGTTACACTAAATATCTAAACTGGGCATTGAGGTTATGCCACAAAAAACACTTCTAATGTTAGCACTAATTAAGCAGTCTCAGCCATTGAGGCCATCAGTGTAACTGGTGCAAGAAAAAGATCATCATGTTATTTAGTATGGAACAGCTGGCAAACTTTAGACCGCGCAGTAAAGCTTTGAACAATATGTTAATAGCTCGTATGCTTTACTTGGGAATATTTGATATTGACTATAAATACCTTTTCAAATAGAAATGTCTCAAAGTGCTTCACAAATAATTACTAGCAGGTGTTTTTGTAGCAATTTGCACCAGCAAGATTGCACAAAGCCTATCATTTTCAATATTAATAGCAGCAAAAACTAAACATTCTAAGGTTCTGTAAACTTGTTCAAAGTTACTTTATGACAGGCAAGATTAGAAATTAATAGAACAGCATCTTTGTAGATGTTAAATAAAAACCTGTTGGTCGATATACCAAGAGATGATACAAGAGTCTATACACCTACTGAGTCTGAAATTTCACCTAGTCTTAGCCTGAAATCCAGTCTTCATTTGAAAGCTATTTTCTTTTTAAGAACTAAAGAAAACTGGTTTGTTTATGAAGATTGAATTTAAGAATGTCCCTCAAAATTAAGTTGCTATATAAATGCAATGTGTTGTTATTGTATGTGTGTTTTGCACCTTTCAAAGTTCAAGTTATTTCATTTTTACTTGGTTGAGATCCAATTTTTAAACTGATCAGAGCGTTCAGCTCTATGAAGCACTAATATGTTCATAATTCTATCCAGCTCTGTAAGACATCACCTGTAGGTTGCAACCTCAAGACTGAGTCCCATCTTCATCTGCATCAGTTGTTGTTGCTCTTTCAGATTCTGGTCAATGATTGATTCAAGATGTTGCTTTTCGTCATTCAGTAATTCAATTGCCCTCTGCACAAAAAAACAACAAACACATGGTATAAGAGAACACAGAAGGAACCAAGGTGATTCTTTCTAAACAGCCCACGTCTTCCAAAGACAGTGAAAAATCTACCTTATCACGGTCATCCCATCCATTTGATCCGGGGGGGAATGGGGGTGACTGGTCTGCATAAATACTCAGATTCCCCAAAATATTCAAGCAAAAACTCCAGAGTATTTATCTCTCTCTCCATCTCCACTGATTGCTCCCAGCCTCCCGACACATCTAATAAATTTAAAACTTTTCACATAAACAAAATACTATTTCATAATTTGGATAGAGCTTTGAGATTTGAACATAAGTGACTCCAGCTTTCAGACACCCAGTCTACACACTCCACAAAGAATTAAATGAAATAGAATAGCACTAAGGATACACACCTGGTATTCTCCCACATCCATATCCTGCTTCTCTTGTACTATTAAGAAATCATCTTCAAGTCGTTTTTGGAGATCATTCTGATCTCGGAGTTCTTTCTTCAGGGCCTCAATCTCTCGAACAAGAAGTATCTTTTCTTTTTCCAAGTCTTCACTTCTCCCTCTGCCCTGCTGCACAATGAATTCTAGTTCCTCTATTTTACTCTTGTACATCTCAAAGGTCTCTCCCCACATTTCTGAGAACAGGGCAGCATAATTTTCAACACCCTGCTCCACTAACGCCACGTTGCAGCACTGCGCGACAATGGTTTGGGGGGCTCTTCTGATCTCCTCTGTCATTTCTAGTTTTGCTTGCTCATGTTCAGCCTCTAGGATTTGATATTCACTTTGCAGTTGAAATATATATTCTTCGAGGGCTGCGTTCGTTCTTTCTTCGATTTGATGAACTTTCTCTTGTTCAGACAGCTCCTGAAGGATGCCTTTGCGCGCTATCTGCTCCGTGTTGCACAGTGCCTGGAGCTCCATCACTTCTTGCCACAAGCTTTGCCGTTGCATTTCAGTTTTTGTTTTCTCTTTTGCCAGTTCCTTCAGCTTCCATCTCATCTGTTTGATCTCCTCTTCGCAAGCTTTATTGCGTTCCGTCCTCCCCTCGCTCCTCGCCTGCTGGATCTCTCTCACAAGCCATCGGTTTTCTTCCTCGAGTTGCCGGACCCTGTTGAGGTAGGATTCCAGACGAGAGTTGAGTTCTTGAAGTTGGGATTTTTCATGGAGAATTGATGATCTAATTGGAAACATTTTCCCTCTCTTCTAATTTCTCTTCTTTTTCCCCCCCCCGCCCAGCCCTCTTGCAACTCAGTAATGAGACCGTGGGCAAGGAACCTCCTGCAGTAACTCTGGAGGCAAGGCCTGTTTGCGTTCTCTTTAAGGGCTTGAGAGGTGGCAGCAGCTGCGAAAGGGGAGGTACAAAGTTCTAGTCATTGGTAACTTTTAACTCACTCAGAACTTTGAGACAAACGAACCTGGAAGATGTCAGGCAGCTCTCGTGACCTCTTGTGGCCAAAGCAGGTACTCTCCACGCGCAAATCAACAGAACAGTTCGCCAATTTATAAGGCCGACTTGTGATATTTTTGCCATTTTGTTTGAATGGTTTACATCGCAGGTCAAGCCAGACACCTTGCAAGCCAGACACCTGCGTTCAATTCCAGGCAGAGGGCGAAACCTTGGGCAAAGTTTCCTTACTCCACACGCCTGATAATAATCCCTACAAAAACAATAATAAATTGGTCATTTTCAATCCACGACTGTTTGTGGGACACTGCTGTGCGCAATTGGCTGCCGCGTTTCGCCCACAAATATACGGTCAATTCATTTTACAGTCTGTTCTGTGAAGCGCTTTGAGACGTCGAGAAGACGTAAAAAGCGCTGTATCAAACGAAAGGATTATTATTATTGTTTGAAAACTGATATTTCTTTCTGCTGGTGACTACACAAATCCTTACGTGTGTTTCATCGCCCACTGTATTTAGAATGAGCTACACCAGCAATCCATGGCCGATGCCTAGAATTCCCTCTCATTCAAATTTGCCCCTTCCTCAAATAAATTCTTTCATTTTTCTAATGATTCTAGGATTTAATTAGTGTTTTCAACGAGTTGTTAGCTCAAATTTCTCGTAGCATCATAGAATGTTTCAGCACAAAATAAACAGGCCGTTTGGATTATTAAGCCCATACTGGTGTTTTTAATCCAAGTGAGTCACCTATTTCTAATCTCACTCTTATGCTTGCTCTTCATACACTTTAATATTCGTACACTTTAATATTCATACACTTTAATATTCTTCTGCACAAGTTACTACCTTTAAAAATAACTCATACTGCAAAGTACCTTAGACATTTGACCTAATGAGGTGTTTGATTAAATATAATACAAGTTTTTTTATATGGAGAGCTTCATGACCCAGATCTTCTCGGGGAATCATTTTTTTGGAATACTTGTACCTCAGTTGTCATATAAACCATTCTCTGCAATGTTCTGGAGAGTAAGACTTTATAATAACAATAATAAACTTGATATCACACATTATCAAGCCTTTGAAACATCACAAAGGCTCCACAGGATTTACTGTAAAGTGGATTGTGTATTTGTAGGTGAACACAGCAACTAATTTTTGCACTGTAATGTTCCACAGACAGACATGAAGTGAATGACCAATTTTATCTGGTAGATCAGAACAACAGGAACTTCCCTTCTCCTTCAAATTGTGGCATAGCATCTTTAAAATCCACCTTAACAGGGACCTTGGTTTAATTTCTCATCTGAAGATTGCCACCTCTGCACTGGCAACTTAGAAAGACTCAAAACTCCAGAGATTCAGTTTCACCATTCGGCCAGACTCATTCGAGGTATGTATCCACAGATGTTGATGTTGCCTTCAGGAGATGAGAAGGGGAGCGTGTTTTGTTTTAAACAGGAAAATATAACAATTTGATGCATCATATCCTCTACGTAACATTTTTCAATGCATAAGTGTAATTTTTTTTACTGTGCTTTAGTTTTGTGTGTGTTTTTCTGAAATATTTTTCAAACAATACATGGAGAAGGATTTCACTGAGGTACACAGACAATGGGGTGTTATTGTGTTTTATCTGTCTGAGCTGTGATCTTCCTCATCTTGTCTATCAGTAGATGAAAAATAGTAATGAAAAATGGGAGTAATTGCATTGGAGTTGTGATGCCTCTAATCAGTCGAACACTGCCTTCTTGTGGGCTTTTCTTGAATCGTCTCATTGCATTCAATATTTTATTGGATTTAGTGAGAGATCATTCCAAGGTTGTTGATATGTATAAATAGTGTGAAAGTCAAACTCTCCCTTCCTACATATTTGAAAAGTTGTGGCTCGTTTGCTGAAAGTTTCTGGTTACCTTCCCACTAACATATACTTCTCAAAGCTCAAGTTCCCAATTTTTTAATCAGTGTTCGGAAGGGGGAGAGAGAGGATGAGGAGGTGGCTGAGGAGGCAGGCAGGTGCTCTTTTTAAGACGGCTCATTGCCTGGCAATGGAATATCTGCATTGAGTCAATCCCCTGTGGTAGTTTTGTTATTCCAGTTCCTGAACCAGGCGGGTCCACAGTACCCCAAGGGGACTGTTGATGGCAGACTTGCCAGCCTGGCTTATTAACAGTACTTGGAGGAGCAAACTAGTCACATTATTCACTCATTCTTCCTACTCGGCTCCTGCAAGCCAAAGCATATTTGATACAGTGATAATTGTCCTAACTAGACAAGCCGCAATCCAAAATACCAGGCTGCACAATTTTAAGCAATACCCCCTTCTGGAGTCTAACCAGCTAAAACCACACAGCTTGTCATCGATATCGCTGCCTGGCAAGATTTCCCGCTGCTTGTCCAGCTAGGACCATCCTACCCATTAGGGCTTTGCCTTGGAGGGTTGACAGGTGCTGAGTGGGATGACTCCCTGCCCCCAGTGACTGGTCTGCCCTTCCAGGTCTGCCATCATCAGTCTCCTGGAGTACTGTGGGGCCAGGCTGGTTGCGCTGCCATCAGCAATGCCCAGGAGTCCTGCGGACCGCCAGCCTCGGGAACAGGACTAGTCTTCCAGAGGGCTGCCACAGAGCGCTGGTTCAATTCCAACTTTCCACTGCCAAGCATGTCACCCTTGGAGCCAGTTCAGCTCCAAGGAGACCCCACTTACCCACTCACCTCCTTCCCGGAGGATAGTCGCTAACCTTACCAATGAGTCAGCGCCTTCAGGAGAGAAAGAGAGAAAATTGGCAAAACAGAACTTGTCACCCACATACAGCTTCCACCAATGGAGTTCTGCTTTGAATTGCAATCGCCCACCCGCATGTACAATATCAACTCAATCATCTGAAGAGCATGTGCAACCAGCACGACTTTAGGAGGAAGCTTTGTAACTTTCTATGATGAACCGAAGAATTGTACAGACCATTGCATTGACTCAGCTGATACAAGCCAAATTGGCACATAATCTCCCGTTTGGCTTGTTCAAACAGGCTCAGCAGATTGAAAATAATATTATAATAAGAAGTCCTGGAGAAAAACAAGTAAGATTAAACCAGATGGGATTTCAGTATCAGTGAGCTACTGTTTTTGTAGCAACCGCTATTTTGCTGGCCAAGTATATTCATTTTTACTGGCAATAAAATCATATCATTAAGGCATAATGACCTAAATGAATAGAGTAATTATACATTTTGCACAGAGAGCAACAACCACATGTATGGTAAAGGCTTAAATTTGAAAGACGGGCACTGTTCCATTTGAGAATTGTTTAAAACTTTTATTCGAAACGAAAAATGCTCCACATTTTCAATCGGAACTCTTCTGACAACTCGCAATTGGTTGTCACGAAAGAATTCCTTCCACAAACCAAGATGTTGAAGCTGAACGTCTCGGTTGACTTATAACTACTGCATCATTCACTTCTATTATGGGCAGACACTTCCGTTACATCAATCTTTGTAAACTTTTTCGTGTCGGAAAGAGATCAATATTAAAAAAAATGTTAAATATGGTTAATGATAATAATAATAGTCCCTGTATTTGATAGAGCGTCTTATCACGTTGTCTCAACGCATTGCACGGGACGTACTGTACAGTGGATTGACTGTATTTTGTGGGCACAGTCGTGTCCCGCAGACGACCGCGGAGCGATGATCCTTAATAAAAAAGAAAGATTAACGGACGAGAAGCGAATAAAATACAATTTTTTTTAGGGAGGGAGGGGGGGGGGGGGGCGAAGGTAAACAATGAATGAAAAAAAATAACCCTTTGTCATCGTTATCAATCCCGTTACAATGGTGCAAACTCATTTCAAGGATTATTCTCGTTATTTATTCGTTATTGTTGTTATTATTTAAAAGAGTGTCAATTCACCAAAAAAAAAACAGCCGCACATCTTTCGGCCGAAGATACTGTAACGCGGTGTTTCAGCATCGGCATCGCATTGAAATTTAATAATAATATTATTAATAATAATAATAATAATAGGGGGCGGAAAGGGCTGAAAAGCTCACGATTTAAAGCGAATCAACCGTCGTCAGAATAAGTGTCCGAATTGCTATTATTTTATTATTATTATTGTACATAGAATATAAAAATATAATATAAAAAGACATTAAAACAAAGAGAGAGAGAGAGAGAGAGAAAAAAAGTGTTTCCGCCCGGGGTCGAACCGGGGACCTTTCGCGTGTGAGGCGAACGTGATAACCACTACACTACGGAAACCTGTCCATCTGTCTGTGGACAAAAAGGCTATTTCAGCCAAATCGGCCCCAGTGTCTGTGTCAGTGGTGGTGTTATCTGTCCGCGGGGGTCCAGGAGAACAGCCCCCACTTCCCCCCCTCCCCCCCATCACTCTCCCCCCTCACTCTCCCCCTCACTCTCACCCCTCCCCTCCCCCCACTTCCCCCCCCCTCACCCCTCCTCACTCTCACTCCCCCTCCACTCTCACCCCTCCCCCTCCTCACCCCCTCCTCACCCCCTCCTCACTCCCTCCTCACTCTCACTCCCCTCCTCACCCCCCCCCTCACTCTCACCCCTCCCCCCCTCACTCTCACTCCCCTCCCCCTCCCCCTTCCCTCCCCTCACTCTCCCCCTCCCTCACTCTCACCCTCCTCCCTCACTCTCCCCCTCCCCCACTCTCACCCCTTCCTTCCCTCCCCCTCTCCCTCTTCCCCCTCTCCCCCCCAAGCCCGGGGTGGCGTGGGGTGTGGTGGGGGGTGGGGGGGGGAGAGGAGGGGCGGTGGTCAGACTCCATCACCATCACGTGCTCCGGGCACTACCTGAACCCCCCCCCCCCACCCCCCCCCACCCCCCACCACACCACCACCAGGAAGGGG